TGACTGTGGATTCTAAACGATTTGGATTCCGCACGTATAAATTACTAGGGGATTGATAAAGGTAAATGTTGACTGTGGATTCTAAACGATTTGGGTTCCGCACGTATAAATTACTAGGGGATTGATAAAGGTAAATGTTGACTGTGGATTCTAAACGATTTGGGTTCCGCACGTATAAATTACTAGGGGATTGATAAAGGAAACAGCTGACTGTGGATTCTAAACGATTTGGGTTCCGCACGTATAAATTACTAGGGGATTGATAAAGGAAACAGCTGACTGTGGATTCTAAACGATTTGGGTTCCGCACGTATAAATTACTAGGGGATTGATAAAGGTAAATGTTGACTGTGGATTCTAAACGATTTGGGTGGGTTCCGTACGTATAAATTACTAGGGAATTGATAAAGGAAACAGCTGACTGTGGATTCTAAACGATTTGGGTTCCGCACGTATAAATTACTAGGGGATTGATAAAGGAAACAGCTGACTGTGGATTATGAACGATTTGGGTTAATTTCACCGCATATGGTCAGCACATAAACACTTCTGAAGGGATTGATATTGGAAATTGCGGAGTGATATTGCGACTATGAAGAAACTCCAACATAGATTTGTAAAAGTCCAAAACATACAGCACATTTGGTTTAAAACAGGGGTCTCCAAACTTTTCAGTCCGAGGGCCGCATTAACTATTAAATTTCAGTTCGGGGGCCAGTTTCTTCCAGGCATGACTTTGATTTTTCTGGGCAAAGTTCTTCAGCCATCACCAACAAACGTTTTTTTTTCCGTGCACAAAAAGATCTCCGCGGGCCGGATGAGAGGACATCGCGGGCCGCATCCGGCCCTCGGGCCGTAGTTTGGTGACCCCTGGTTTAAAGTATAGAATGTTGTCAAACGTTAGTCAATGAATAGGGCTATGGTAGTTTAATTAGTTGGCTATACTCCATTTTTCTCTCTCTTTTATGAAAGGCGGAAGAGGGGGGGGGGGGCGGGTGAGGGGCGAGTGGATTGCAATGGGTGTTGTGGTGCGTTTGCAATAAACAATTCTTTTTAATTGAATTATAGAAAAAAATCATAACACTTTTAAATAACATATGACATATCTAAACCAAATGAAAACCAAACAAACGAAAGCCAGATATATGAAATCAAAACATGAAAAACAAAAAAATATGAAAAAGAAACATTAAAAATAAACAGATGAAAACTTAACATGTGAAAATCAAGCGTATGAAAATCAAAATCAAACAAGAAAACTAGAAATGAAAAGTAAACATGACAACGAAACAAGTGAAACTTAAACTTATAAGAGCGCGCCTTAACATATGTGCAGTAAAAATATGTTTAGATTTTATAAATTTGAATTTCATTTGCTTCATTTTCATGTTTTATTTTATGTCTAGTTTATTTATTTTAATTTTTATATGCCTAAAAACTACTATGAAAAAAATAACTTTAAAATGATGCAACCTGCATCCACGAATTGTATTTATTATGTTGTCAGAAACAAATACTAACATTGAAATTAATTTAAACAAAAACTCTTTAACAGTAATACCACACCTATAAAGTGTATCGTAGTTCATGGTCCACTTAACAACAAATCTTGGAGGCCGTTCGTCCGGGGATTTCTATGCAATGAAATCACTGATGCGTGAAGAATAGTATCAATGGGCTTCTACATTTAAAAAAAAATCGGCTAAATATTACCTGTTGCCTTGACATATCCCCACCCACCCACCCCGTCCCCTAATTCACGTAAAAATAGTACTATAGAATTCATACCTTCCCAAAAAAAAACGCGCTGAAAGGAATAATTATTGATACCATTGACTAACGATATAGAAAAAAAGCGGACAGGTTTAGCCTAAAAAACAACGTTGTTTTCTAACTTAACCAAGGACCTGTTTCATTCACGTACGATCGTTTCTGGTGACCTTCAAATAATTTGAACCAAGTAAATATGTTATTTTTTCCAAACGAAATTATTTTCATAGATAATACACATCTTGCTTTCATGATTTGACCAAACTTAACTGGAATAGGCCCCTACAAACGAAACATTGCATTGAGGTAATTGAGCAGGTGGTGTTAGATCTAAAGTCCTATTTAAGTCGCGCAGCTGCAGTTCTTTTATATGCGCGTAGTTCCTTTGTAAAATACAAATAACCTAACACTGAATCGACTATTCGGGTCGCCTCAAAAGTAGGACTAAAAATCTATAAAAATAAAAAAAACAGAGGTCATTAGAATAAAAAACAACCACAAAACAAGCTTATATAGCTACAGGGAGAAACCAATATAAGAGAGAGAAACAACTTTACATATCTTGAAAATGTTATCAACTCGGAAATGGGGGGCAGAAGAGGACATAAAAAGCCGTATCAACAAGGCCAGATGTGCCTAAAACTCAGTACGCCCGATATAGACTTGCAAAGCCTTGCCATTTCAGATCAAGATAAGAATCTTGAAAAAAATTCACATAAAAAGTTAAGGCAGTATTGCTTTATGGCCCTAAGATATGGAGGGCTACTAATTCAAACACAGACAGGCTACAGTCGTTCACAAATAAATATCCAGGATAAATCTTTAACATAGATGGTCGGATAAAATTTTCTTACAATACCTTTGGCGAATCACAAAGCAGCAGCCGGTTGATAGGGATGTAAAAGATCACTGATAGGGATGGATCAGGCAAGCCTTTTAACGTTTGACTGGAACCCCCTGGGGTAGAAAAAAATAGACCGACCTAAGCAATTCTAGAGAAAGACTGTGGAAAGAGAAGCAAAGTACGATGAGTGTACGTGGGCTCAACTTAAGACAGCTGCCCCCAAAACATAAGTGCTGATGCACTTTTTTCTCCAGGGGAGGGGGAAATTGATATTTTCGGAGGGGGGGGGGGGGGGGGGGGGGAGGGCGGACTAAATTTTCCGAGGGGGGGGGGGGGGGAGTGGGTGAGGGTTGGACACTTGTAAATTATATTATATATTTCTATATTAATTCCATTTCTTTCGGGGAAGGGGTGGTAGACTTTCTTCAAGGAACAAACTGCCCCAAACAGAGTCCGTCGGAGATGTATAGTTGCAGCTCTTTGTTTTGTCTTGGGCTTCAAAGGAATACGTTAATCACTTGTCAAATTTACATAGTACCGCTTTCATAAGAGACGTAGGGAACACACGAGTTTGGTAATTAGATTTGCCTGTACAGATAATCTTTCATCGATCTTCTAAAAAAGCCTACTTTGTAATAAAATGTACTTAAAACGATGCCGAAAAAATAAAAATATTATGCTTTTTTTTTAAATAGCATGACCGAGTAATGACGTTGTTTTTTTTTTAAATTTTGAGTGATAAAATGAAAAAAAAAATGTTTTAGTGTTTTCATAAATCGTTTAGTTACAAAAAATATTAAAAACAACAAAAACATCCAAACTTTAGTAAAGTCCGACAAAAATCTCACAAAGACAGTTTTATATCCACGTTGTTATTTATAACACCGCACACGATATTAAAAATAGATAATGAACCTTTTGAAACTATTTTCGTTGTTGCTCATTACCAAAAACACGTACTTACTGAAACACGGTGATATTTTTGTTAGCTTGTTGAAATAATGATACTTACCTTATTATTTAAATCATGAGAGCTGAAATATTTTTTTTTACGAGTTCGCTTAAAATGTGTAGCATAGTCTTGTAAAAACAGCTTAATTTAAAATACAATCAAACACAAAGGAGAACATACACGCTCACTAGCACACAAATAAAAACAAAAACAAAACAACAACAAAAATATCAAATAAAATAGCTAATTACTCTAAATGTAATGATATACATTTTGAAAACTAGTATGTTAATGTTTTGTTTAGCAGTCAAGCGCTCTACTGCACGGTCGCGCCGTCTCCAAAATAGTGAAGTAAAACCCTGTTCTTGCTCGTAGCACCTAAGAAATAATTTTACATTGTACA